CTTGTTTGTAGTTTCCTTTGCTTTGAAAAAGGTTTTAAGTTTCATTAGGTAACATTTGTTTATTTTTGTTTTTATTTCCATTACTCTAGGAGGTGGATCAAAAAAGATCTTGCTGTGATTTATGTCAAAGAGTGCTCTTCCTATGTTTTCCTCTAAGAGTTTTACAGTGTCCAGTCTTACATTTAGGTCTAGAGTCCATTTTGAGTTTATTTTTATGTGTGGTGTTAGGGAGTGTTCTAATTCATTCTTTTACATGTAGCTGTCCAGTTTTCCCAGCCCCACCTATTGAAGAAAATGTCTTTTCTCCATTGTATATCCTTTCCTCTTTTGTCATAAATTAGTTGACCATAGGTGTGTGGGTTTATGTCTGGGCTTTCTATCCTGTTCCATTGATCTATATTCCTGTTTTTGTGCCAGTAACATATTATCTTGATTACAGTAGCTTTGTAGTATAGTCTGAAGTCAAGGAGTCTGATTCTTCCAGCTCCGTTTTTCTTTCTTAAAATTGCTTTAGCTATTTGGGGTCTTTTGTGTCTCCATACAAATTTTAAGATTTTTTGTTCTAGTTCTGTAAAAAATGCCATTGTTAATTTGACAGGGATTGCATTGAATCTGTAGATTGTTTGGGGTAGTATAGTCATTTTCACAATGTTATTTCTTCTAATCCAAGAACATGGTATATCTCTCCATCTGTTTGTATCATCTTTAATTTCCTTCATCAGTGTCTTATAGTTTTCTGCATACAGGTCTTTTGTCTCCTGAGGTAGGTTTATTCCTAGGTATTTTATCCTTTTTGTTGCAATGGCAAATGGGAGTATTTCCTTAATTTCTCTTTCAGATTTTTCATCATTAGTGTATAGGAATGCAAGAGATTTCTGTGCATTAATTTTGTATCCTGCTACTTTACCAAATACATTGATTAGCTCTAGTAGTTTTCTGGTGACATCTTTAGGATTCTCTTTGTATAATATCATGTCATCTGCAAACAGTGACAGTTTTACCTCTTCTTTTCTAATTTGTATTCCTTTAATTTCTTTTTCTTTTCTGGTTGCCATGGCTAGGACTTCCAAAACTATGTTGAATAATAGTGGCAAGAGTGGACATCTGTGTCTTTTTCCTGATCTTAGGGGAAATGCTTTCAGTTTTTCACCATTGAGAATGATGTTTGCTGTGGGTTTTTCGTATATGGCCTTTATTATGTTGAGGTAGGTTCCCTCTATGTCCACTTTCCGGAGAGTTTTTATCATAAATGGGTGTTGAATTTTGTCAAAAGCTTTCCCCCCATATATTGAGATGATCATATGGTTTTTATTCTTCAGTTTGTTAATATGGTGTATCACATTGATTGATTTGCGTATATTGAAGAATCCTTGCATCTCTGGGATAAATCCCACTTGATCATGGTGTATGGTCACTTTAATGTGTTGTTGGATTCTGTTTTCTAGTATTTTGTTGAGGATTTTGGCATCTATATTCATCAGTGATATTGGTTTGTAATTTTCTTTTTTTGTAGTATCTTTGTCTCATTTTGGTATCAGGGTGATAGTGGCCTCATGGAATGAGTTTGGGAATATTCCTTCCTCTGCAATTTTTTGGAAGAGTTTGAGAAGAATGGGTGTTAGCTCTTCTCTGAATGTTTGATAGAATTCACCTGTGAAGCCTTCTGGTCCTGGACTTTTGTTTGTTGGAAGATTTTTAATCACAGTTTCAATTTCAGTGCTTGTCATTGGTCTGTTCATATTTTCTATTTCTTCCTGTTTCAGTGTTGGAAGGGTATAAGTTTTGAAGAATATGTCCATTTGTTCCGGGTTGTCCATTTTATTGGCATAGAGTTGCTTGTAGTATCCTCTTAGGATGCTTTGTATTTCTGAGGTGTCTATTGTAACTTCTCCTTTTTCATTTCTAATTTTATTGATTTGAGTCCTCTCCCTCTTTTTCTTGATGAGTCTGGCTAATGGTTTATTAATTTTATCTTCTCAAAGAACCAGCTTTTATTTTTATTGCTCTTTGCTATTGTTTTCTTCATTTCTATTTCATTTACTTCTGCTCTGATCTTTAAGATTTCTTTCCTTCTACTAACTTTGGGTTTTGTTTGTCCTTCTTTCTCTAATTCCTTTAGGTATAAGATTAGATTGTTTATTTGAGATTTTTCTTGTTTCTTGAGGTAGGCTTGTATAGCTATAATCTTCCCTCTTAGAACTGCTTTTTTTGCATCCCATAGGTTTTGGATCATCGTGTTATCATTGTAATTTGTCTCTAGGTATTTTTTGATTTCCTCTTTGATTACTTCAGTGATAGCTTGGCTATTTAGAAACGTATTGTTTAGCCTCCAAGTATTTGTGTTTTTTACATTTTTTTCCCTGTAATTGATTTCTAATCTCATAGCATTGTTGTCAGCAAAGATGCTTGATATGATTTCAATTTTCTTAAATTTCTGAGGCTTGATTTGTGACCCATGATGTAATCTATCCTGGAGAGTGTTCCATGTGCACTTGAGAAGAAAGTGTAATCTGCTGTTTTGGGATGGAATGTCCTATAAATATCAATTAAATCTATCTGGTCTATTGTGTCATTTAAAGCTTGTGTTTCTTTATTAATTTTTGGTTTGGATGATCTTTCCATTGGTGTAAGTGAGGTGTTAAAGTCCTCCACTATTATTGTGCTACTATCGATTTCCTCTTTTATAGCTATTAGCAGTTGCCTTATGTATTGAGGTGCTCCTATGTTGGGTGCATATATGTTTATAATTTTTATATCTTCTTCTTGGATTGATCCCTTGATCATTATGTAGTGTTCTTCCTTGTCTCTTGTAACATTCTTTATTTTAAAGTCTATTTTATCTGTTATGAGTATTGCTACTCCAGCTTTCTTTTGATTTCCATTTGCATGGAATATCTTTTTCCATCCCCTCGCTTTCAGTCTGTATGTGTCCCTAGGTCTGAAGTGGGTCTCTTGTAGACAGCATAAATATGGGTCTTGTTTTTGTATCCATTCAGCAAGTTTTGGTTGGAGCATTTAATCCATTCACCTTTAAGGTAATTGTTGATAGGTATGTTACTATTACGATTTTCTTAATTGTTTTGGGTTTGTTTTTGTAGGTCCCTTTCTTCTCTTGTGTTTCCCACTTAGAGAAGTTCCCTTAGCATTTATTGTAGAGCTGGTTTGGTGGTGCTGAATTCTCTTAGCTTTTGCTTATCTGTAAAGCTTTTTTTTTTTTTTTTTTGCCGTACGCGGGCCTCTCACTGTTGTGGCCTCTCCCCTTGCGGAGCACAGGCTCCGGACGCGCAGGCTCAGCGGCCATGGCTCACGGGCCCAGCCGCTCCGCGGCATGTGGGATCTTCCCGGACGGGGGCACGAACCCGTGTACCCTGCATCGGCAGGCGGACTCTCAACCACTGCGCCACCAGGGAAGCCCCCTGTAAAGCTTTTGATTTCTCCATCGAATCTAAATGAGATCCTTGCCAGGTAGAGTAATCTTAGTTGTAGTTTCTTCCCTTTCATCACTTTAAATATAAACTGCCACTCCCTTCTGGCTTGTAGAGTTTCTGCTGAGAAATCAGCTGTTAACCTTATGGGAGTTCCCTTATATATTATTTGGGTTTTTTTCCCTTGTTGTTTTCAATAATTTTTCTTTGTCTTTATTTTTTGTCAGTTTGATTACTATGTGCCTCGGTGTATTTCTCCTTGGGTTTATCCTGCCTGGGACTCTGCGCTTCCTGGACTTGGGTGACTATTTCCTTTTCCATGTAGGGAAGTTTTTGACTATAATCTCTTCAAATATTTTCTCGGATCCTTTCTCTCTCTCTCTTCTCCTTCTTGGACCCCTTAATGTGAATGTTGCTGTGTTTAATGTTGTCCCAGAGGTCTCTTAGGCTGTCTTCATTTCTTTTCTTTCTTTTTTCTTTATTCTGTTCTGTGACAGTGAATTCCACCATTCTGTCTTCCAGGTCACTTATCTGTTCTTCTGCCCCAGTTATTCTGCTATTGATTCCTTCTAGTGTATTTTTCATTCAGTTATTGTATTGCTCATGTCTGTTTTTTTGTTCTTTAATTCTTCTATGTGTTTTTTCTTTAATTCTTCTAGGTTTTTGTTAAACATTTCTTGCATCTTCTCGATATTTTCCTCTATTCTTTTTCCAAGGTCCTGGGTCATCTTCACTATCATTATTCTGATATCTTTTTCTGGAAGGTTGCTTATCTCCCCTTAATTTAGTTGTTTTTCTGGGGTTTTATTTTGTTCCTTCATCTGGTACAAAGTCCCTGCCTTTTCATTTTGTCTGTCTTCTGGGAATGTGGTTTTCCTTCCACAGGTTGCAGAATTGTAGCTCTTCTTGTTTCTGCTGTCTGCCCTCTGGTGGATGTGGCTATCTAAGAAGCTTGTGCAAGTTTCCTGATGGGAGGGACTGGTGGTGGGTAGAGCTGGGTGTTGCTCTGGTTGGCAGTAAAACTTTAATCTGCTTGTCTGCTGATGGGTGGGGCTGGATTTCCTCCCTGTTGGTTTTTTGGCCTGAGGTGACGCAACACTGGAGCCTACCGGGCTCTTTGGTGGGGCTAATGGTGGACTCTGAGGGCTCATAGCAAGGAGTATTTACCAGAACTTCTGTTGCCTGTGTCCTTGTCCCCATGGTGAGCCACATCCACCCCCACCTCTGCAGGAGACCCTCCCACACTAGCAGGTATGTCTGTTTCAGTCACTATGGGGTCACTGCTCCTTTCCCTGGGTCCCAATGTGCACACTACTTTGTGTGTGTCCTCCAAGAGTGGAGTCTCTGTTACCCCCAGTCCTGTCAAAATCCTGCAATCAAATCCCACTAAGCTTCAAAGTCTGATTCTCTGGGAATTCCTTCCCCCATTGGGTATAAGTGTTCTCCAGTTTGTGAGTCACCTACACAGATGTTATGGGATTTGATTTTATTGTGATTGTGCCCCTCCTACCATCTCACTGTGGCTTCTCCTTTGTCTTTAGATGTGGGGTATCTTTTTTGGTGAGTTCCAGTGTCTTCCTGTCAATGATTGTTCAGCAGTTATTTGTGATTCTGGTGCTCTCACAAGAGGGAGGGAGCACACATCCTTCTACTCCACCATCCTGAATCAATCTGCCTTAGATGTAAGATTCTTGGTTGATGGTATTTTTCTTTCAGCCCTTTGGATCTTTACCCTGTTGCTTTATGGTGTCCATTGCTTCTAATGAGAAGTGAACTAATTCTTTTATTAGGGTTCTTGTATGTGATGAGTCATTTTTTTCTTGCTGCTTTCAAAATTTTGTCTGTGGCTTTCAACATTTTTACCATGATGTGTCTGTGTGTGGATCTCTTTGTATGCACCCTACTTCGAATTCATGGAATGTATAGATCAATGTTTTTCATCAAAGATGTGAATTTTTCACCAGCATTTTCTCTAATTTTTTTAGCTCTGTTAATTTTTCTTCATTTTTTATTCTCACTGCTTTTTTAGATTGCATAATCGTCTTCTACTTTAGAGTTCATTGATTCTCCTTCCAGGTCAAACCTACTCTACTCAAACCTACTTTAGTAATATTTCATTTTGGTTATTGAATTATATTTGAAATTAATCTGGTAGTTTCAATAATTTTCATTTGATTCTTTTTTATAATTTCTATGTCTTTATTGGTGTTCAGTATTTGATAAGATATTGTCATCTTAGCTTTCCTTACTTTGTTAAACAGCTTCCTTTTGTTATTTGCATATAGTTATAATGTCTGTTTTGAAGTCTGTCCATCAAATACTACAACTGGGTCTTTTCACGGGCATTTCCTGTTGCCTGCTTTTTGTTTGTGTATGTATGTGTCACACTTTCTTGTTTAGCTGCATGTCTGATAATTTTTTTCTGAAAGTTTGATATTTTGGGCAACATATTGTAGCAATTCTGGATGCTGATTCTCCTTACCCCTTTCTGGGGCTTGTTTTGTTGTGTTTGGTTATTACTTTGTTTAGAGGATTGGTTAGATTATTTTAGTGAAGTCTATTTTCATATCAGCGTGAACCCTCTGATATTGCTCTTCAAAGGGTGCAGCTTTGGGCATGCACACAGTCACCCTGGGAGGACAGTGATTTTAGCAGGGTTCTCTTTGACTGTCACTTTCTCTAAACTCTCTGTTAAATTGTCTGTTTACTTTGATGTCTCCCTCAGATTTTAGTCTCCTCTACTTGCAGGCTGATTGCTCTATTGTTTTCAATAATGCCCTGAAACACAAATGGGATTACAGTCAGATACAAATAAATCCAAGTAAAAGTAGTTTTTGAGACTAGTCTTTGAGGGTTGTTCTGACCCCAAGAGGGCTCCTTTCAGCCATCTCTTTCTATGGTTCTCTTTGGTCAGCTAGTTGGCTTGCAGTTTAGCTTTTAATCTGTCATAAAGCTACCAGTCTCCTCATAATTGCTTACCACGAAAAACTCCATTTATTTATTTTCCTTTCTTTTTCTTTTTCTCCTCCTTTTCCTCCACCTCCTCCCCCCCCCCCACTTCCTTTTCTTGTCCCCCTTCCCCTTCTCCTTTTTCTTTCACCTTGGCAGCCATACCTGACTTTAAGCCTGGAACTTCCTAGGTGTTAACTCTTAATATGAGTGTCCTTGGAAGCAGGCTTCTCAGCTACTACTTCTTTCTGTATGCTCTTATCTGCAATCCATTACAAAAATTGTTGGTCTCAGCCACAGATGATCTTCTCCTATCCTTTGGTAAAACTTTTAAAGAAGACAGTGAATGTATTTCAATAATGTCAACCTGCACACACACACACACACACATACACACACACTTTCTCATCATCCTCCAATTGCCTAAATGGAATTTCTTGAGTTGGAAAACTCCTAAGAAGGTTAAGGGGATTTCACTGATGGGATGGTTGCTCTAATATAATACTGTGAGTCTTGAGAAAACACCATTTTCCTATGGTTGGGTGGAGGAAAGATGCAACGTTAATATCCTCTACCAGTAATTCATGTCTTGTGGCCATTTTACCTTTTACAGGTTTCTAAGTGAGTAGAATAGCCAGATAAATTATCTAAATAATTCATTTCATACTCTGGATTTAAATTGCCTTCTCAAAGGAAAGGTAATATGTTGGGTTATTTGCTTTTCTCCTCAGCTCCATTTTTCAAATAAACTGTAAAATGGCACCACCATGTGGTTGAAATGTGCATTGTTCTCAGAAATCCAACACTGCAACAATCCAGTGAGTCAGACCAGTTGTCATTCATTAATTTACTCAACAAATATTTTCTGAGAGCCCACCTGTGCTGGGCTATGTTATTTGTACTGGGAACACTATAAATAAAACAAATGCAGTCTCTGACCCCTTAAATTTCACATTCACTGTTCACATTTTCTTTGGTTAAACAACCTATATCAAACATTAAAATACAAAAGCACATCTTTTTAGTTGTTTTTATTGGTATAAGAAAAAGTGGACAAAATATTAATCCTGGCTTTGTCATTGACTAGCTGTGTAAAAATACTCACTTTTTCCCTATGGTACTCAGCGTTTTATGGTTGTCCCAGATAAATGTCTCCTAACTGATAATATATTAAAACAATGAGGATGATTTGCTAAGGAAAAAAAAAAAGACCATATATTAACATATTCCAAAGTTTGCCTGCAAGGCTGGGGAATTTATAAATCCCTGAATATTATCTATGGTCTCTTTAGGCCCACCTACACGTAAAGTTAAGGTCTGTTGGATTAGGTGATTTCAGGTGTCCCTCCTAGCTATAACAATATTTGGTTCTTATGATCAGAAATAGTTGATAATAGAACCAATCCTGAGGTAAAGCTGCAATTTCTATTCAAGGATCCTGTCTTCTAAGCCCTCCCAATACATATACTGAATGCCATAGTTGCTTCATTATAGCACTGTTTTGCTTTATTGCAACTTCCTGCCCTTAGGGATAAAGTTCTGTGTGAGTGAAGGAACCACATAATGTGTTGTCCAAACCAGGACACTTTTGAGAGTGAAATGGAAGGAAAGTTCCTTCAATAAATATTCACCTCATAAATTTAGTATAAAATTAAATTGGTTAATGCATTAAATGAGCTCACAATAGTGATTGGCACATAGTAAGCAGCCTATAAATCTTAGTCCTTAATTAGTAATCATGGGCAACTAGCTGTATATCCCTACCGGTTTTCCTACCGTTACCTCTCTTCAACTTACCTTCCACTCTGCTTCCAAAAGTATTTTTGTAAAGTACAAATATTCTGTTCCTTTCCCTCCTGATAAACCTATTAATAGGTAACACACAAATTCTCTTGAATTTGTACTCTGGCTGTATTTCAAGTTGTTCCTCCCCATCAATCCTCACAACACTCATCTTTAATTCAGCTACAGTTCTTCCAAGCCCAAACCCCACTCTTCTACCTCCATGCCCTAGTATCCTACCATGGATATTGTGCCTCCTAAATTTTGCCTATCAAAATCCTTCTCACATTTTAACTCTTAGTTCGGGCTCTTCTAAATAACATAAGACCAAAATTTGTTTTTGCATCTCTATTTTAACTTATGATAATACGAGCTATTTTTTAAATTTACACTAAGTGTCAGGCACTTTTCTAAATAAGCTCTTTAAATGTCATTATCTGTCAGCATGTTGGAAAAAGAAACATAGACATATCTAAATATAATTCAATGCAAAGAGCAGTGAGTAAGGCTTATGACAGAAGTTAGACCTGTGTTTGATGCAAAGCAGAATACCATGGCAGTTGAACACGTGGGCTCCAGAATACGATGACCTGGGTTATAATTCTGGCTCTATAATTTGCTAGTTATGTGACTTTGGGGATGTATTTCTCTCTTTCTTTTTTTTTTGATCCTCTCTGAAACTACTTGAAACTATTTATAAAGTTAGTCACAGTGACAATTTTCATATATATGTGATTATTGTGGCACTTAAATTATGAATATCTGAAACAAAAGATTGAATTTTTATTTTCTTTGCTGTGTTTCCCACAATGTAATCGCAAATGTACTGCCTATACAAGAGAGGTGATTTTTGACCGTGTCATTCAAATATTCAGCATGTCACCAAAGGCTCACACTGAATACTAATGGAGGGATTTGTGGATGTTTCCTGGGCAGGATCATGGAAATAGCTGAGAAAAATAATTCTGTCTTCAAATGGATAGCTTCTAAATTCAGAGGTAGCCAGATTTGGGAGACACAGTTAAGCTGACTTGATTGTTCTAAATTTGTGATTTCTTCAGATAATCTTCTTTCCTGCTTGTGGTGTGTCCAATTGGACAACTGCAACCTTTATTTTTTTTAAAAGGGACAAATTCCTGAGAAGACCAAAAATTGATTTTCAGAGGTTACAGAGTCCTTCACAAACTCATTAAGAAGAGTCAACAAAAAGAACTGCAGCTGGTTGATGAATGGTTTCAAAAACACCCCATGAAAATAGTGTACTGTGAAATGTCTTTTGTTACTTAGGCTGGAATAGGGCTGGAACATGGCAGGGGAGCTGGGGCAGGAAGGTATGGGGTGAATATCTTTTCTATGGAGTCTAGATCTTTACATAAATAAAGACAGGGTTTCATTGTGTGATTTGTTTTCTCTCCTGACTTTCCAAAGGGTTGAGCCTTCCCTGACTCCGTGCACATCTGCAGTTGTCTTAGAAAAACATCCGGGGTTAATCCCCAGTATGTCATGCTGAATGAAAGCTGCATCCTTCCAAATGGTTTTCCATCCTCCTGTCTCCCCACGTTCCTTTGTATGATGCCAGAGTAAACTTTGTCATACAAACCTTGATCACGTCACACCTCTCCTCAAAAATCCCATTGCCTTTGAATTGGGTTAAAACTATTCATCCTGGCAGTTAAGGATTTTCTCAGTAAGACCAGTCCCTCTTTCCCAGTGGTGTTTCCCCCACTTTCCCTCTCAGTACTTTACATCCTAGTCAGCTTTTATTTCACTCTCTGATCACACCTACACATTCTTTTCCTCCTCTATCCTTAGGTCTTCATTGATGCCACTTCTCATCTGAAATGTACTTGGTGCTATCTGTTTCCTAGCTTTTCCTATGCAGGGCGGAGCAGCTTTAATAATAAAAAAGGGTAATATCCAGTATCAAGTTGAACTGTGTGAATCACCACAT